AAATGAGGGAAAGGTCATTAGTGAATTACAAGGTGGTAAGCGAACTTATCAGAAACTGCATTAGTCAAAAAAGAATAACACTCTAAGATTCATGACATGCCACTTTTTGAGTCTTTGAATAAATGAGGATGTTTCCTCACACTAGACATTGGTCAGAAGAAATATCCTGGGTTACTCAGACCTCCATTCAAACTTCTCCTGAACTCTTCATAGTGAGAGAGTTGGGAGTAAAGCCAGAGCATTCCTTTCTGAAAGTATGCCCGATTTCGGAGCAATGGTTTCCAAAATGTAACACGGGTATCTAAAGCTGATGAATAGAAGTATGAGCCTGAAAACTTAAAACCAAAGGTTAAAAGTTCAGTTAATTATAAGTCAGGAATGATTTCCATGTCCCATTCTGAATGTATGTAAACGATGCTCTCTTCGGCTGCCTGTGTGCCTTCCCAGTGTACCCCCAAACTATTTTAACAGGATTCAGTAGAAGGAACATCAAGCAACTTTCACGAGACCACAGAGACAAAACCTTGCAACTAGAAGACAGTAGAAACGCCGCTGAATCATTGGCCCTGATCACAAATACTGATTACTGGCCCTGCCTTTCCTGAAAACAGGTAATGCGAGTGAAGACACTAAGCAGGGTCCCAGGGCCTTCTCCAGCCTCAGGGAGGGTCAGGCACCACAGGAATGGACGGGGGACCTACTGGTTCAACCCCTGCCTGCTTACTTCTCGGTCCTACCAACAAGCTGGCTGCTGCAGGTAGCCGGCTAGCCAGAAACACCAGGCGGCCCAGGAGCCGGGAAGGGAAGTCACTTACCAGTCTCCACCCAAGGCTCGCATCCCTCAAGGGTCAGGCGTGCGGACCAGACGCAGGCGGTCCACAGCTCAGACCGCCCTGGCGACGGCTCGAGAGCGTCACTGACAACCACCCGGAAGTGATGAACTGCTTCCGGGGCCCCAGGCGCGCGGCGGGAAATTATTTCCTAGAACCCAGATTAGTGGAGCCCCGAGTGCTACCGCCGTAGCCGTCAGCCCTACCGCCTCCGCCACTGCCGCCGCCGCCCGAAGAAAACAGTCCAGACCCTCCAGTCGGCCGGGAAGGTAAAGCGCCGAGGTGCGGAAGACGCCATTTACCGCGTCCGCAGACCGCGCCTGTGACATCCCCGCCGTCCTCGCCGGGCCGCGGCGGCGCCGGGCGCTCGCGCTTTCCACAGCCTCGGTTCCTTCACGGTGAACTCGGGGCCTGGCGCCCGCGCCGGTGGCCCGGGCCTCAGACCGCGGCCCGCTCCGCTGCGCCCCGCCTGGCCCTTGGCCCGGGGCGGCCCCCGCGGCCTGCTCTGGGCCGCTGCCTGCCGTCTGGGCCCCGGCGCCAGGCCGCCCGCGTCTCCGGTTTCCATAGAACCCGCTAGGCTGCCTCACCCCCTCCCAGTTCTGCTACTCCCAGACCTGAGCTTCAGTGCAGGCGGCGGGCATTGCCAGGCCCTGCCTCCCTTCCACTGCAGCAAAGTCGAGACAGCCTTTCCCTCTAGTAGAATTGTGGTTTTCACAGCGAGAGGAAAATGAGTTTGTATCTGCGGCTACTGTGTGTAAGCTTTGACCAGAAACGCGCGGACACCTTTCCTAAAGGCAGGGTCCGTGTTCCTGGGGATCCTATCTGCTGCCTGAACACCAGGACGAAACTAAGTCATTGTTGAGAAACTTATTATTCCACCTCCAAGGTCTGACTATAAATATTGACAAACACTGATTTGCCTTAATACTCCAAATCAGGATTTGGGACCTGTGGTAGATGGAACTTGATTTTAAAGTCCCCAAGCTCTTTTATGACAAATGACTGTCCTCTACAGAGGAAAAAGTTTTCTAGTGAGACATTGGCAATGAACTGGATTCACAGCATACATGTAACAGACACCACATCTTGCGGACTGTTTTGTTGGTTGCTGCCGTGCCACGATCCAGGTCTTAAGTTGGTTTTTAATGGAATGTTTTGTCGTTTATTCTAGGCGTTTAGAACGTAGCTGATCATTTGGTTATGGATTTCTGTGAGAGGAAATTTGATTTTAAGTTAACGATAATTTCACATACTAGGATGTTAAAAATACTCAAATTTTTAGGTCTGTTTTATTGTAAGACAGTCTTCAATAAGCAACTAACCTATTAAATCTGTTTTCTAATTTTCTCATGTTTTATTGACGTGGGTGATGATCAGTTACGTGATATAGAATTTTTTTGGTTTTGAAAAGTAGAAAAGTGAAGTGGTCATTTGTAATTCCTTTTCATAATCAAAATTAACAGTACTTAAGATTTTATTCCATGCATTCACAATATCTATGGATGCCTATTTGAGGTTTTTTGTTTTTTTGGAAACCGATAGTATAGCCTTACTAGATAGTATTTTCCTTAAGTATGTTGGCTGTATTAGTCTACATGTCTTTTCACTGTTTAAAAAACATGTCAAGAATAAAGTCAGTTGTTTGTAAGCTTGAAATAGTAAGAGAACCTTTCCAAGGAATAGAAACTATAGTGGAACATCACCTTTTGTTCTTTTAATCTATTCCAGTGAAATGATTTTGAAATTGAGAATATGTTATTTTTGATAAGAAAATCTGTATGATAAATTCCAATAATTGATTCCCAATCTGTTACGGGAGAAAAATAATAGAATCTGTTTTGCATAAAACAAAAAAAAAAATACTACTCTTTAGAATATTCCTAGAAATATGTGAATATTTTAGACATTAGTATTTTTTCTGAAAATGATTGATAACTGTTTAAATCTTTACATTTGTTGCTCTAAATGTCTTCTTACTAATGCCTTCCTGTTGCACCGGTGGAATATTAATTGCTTTGTAAAACTGTGATGTGTTTAAGAAAAGTAGATCAAACCTGAAATTTAACCCGTTTGGCATTGTTTTAAAAAAAAAAAAAAAAAAAAAAAAAGGCATAGCCTTTTCACAAAACAGGCTTATCTTGGAATCTTGGTTTGACTAGGTAGTTTTTTTTTGTCTTTTGGTTTTTTTGTTTTGTTTTTTGTTGTTGCTGTTGTTGTTTCTCTGCCCTTGGAGCTAGGGATTGACTTGGTGCTTATTTCCTGCTAAATTACCAAATTATATTCCAAGTTATACCCCTTCCTTCTGTAATTCAAACTAGGTGTAATCCAGTATTCTTATCAGTATCTTGTAGTCTCATCTGCATGTGAGTAAATATGTGGGTAAATATATGAAGTGTATACACCACAGAAGGTCCTTGATAAAACATTTTAACAATCCTAGACTTGTGCTTTTCATACAGGAAATTGTCTGTACAGTTTGCTTCCTAAGGACTCCTTTAACTCTAACTTAAATGGTTAGCCCAGGCTACACCATGTACAGTGTCAGATAGATATCGACACATTTTCCTTGTCACCTATTTCTTTCTGCCACATCACATTCATTTTTTATTTATTCTTTGTTATCAGATTATCCAGTAAAGGAATTAATAATTGTTCCTTTTCTCAGAGGCAAGAACATTTGTCACATCGATCACTAGAGACTTTTGGTTTTCAGTTTCCACTTATCTTTTTTTGGTTGTGTGCTGCATGTTGATAGGACCTAGGGTCTTACATGTGTTAAGTAGACACTGTAACATTGAGCTACTCCCCAATCCCTCCAGACCTGTTAAATAATTAATATAGCATTGAAGATAGGACAGGATGTAAGACAACTGTTTGTTCATATTTATTTCGTGTGTGTGTGTGTGTGTGTGTGTGTGTGTGTGTGTTTTCTTCCATGTGGGTTGGGGAATCAAACTCAGGTCTTTAGGTTTGGTGGTCAGTGCCTTTACCTGCATTACCATATGGCATTACCATAACAACATCTTTTAGGACAAATTCCAAAGGCCTGCTGAGTGACATTAGACCAAGGGTGTGTTCTTTCCTAGGTCCAGAAGGACAAGGATTCCTACACTCCACTTGAAGTTAAAGCATTCAGAACTAACAGAATTTCACTCATAGCATAAATACTAAGACATAAGTGTGTGCTTTGCAACATTGTAAAGCAGAAAGAAATGTAGTGCTTTGGTTATATATTTCATTTTAATTTTAAGTTTCAATTTAATTTCCCAGTTAAATCTTTCAAGTTTTGAATTCAAACTAGTGAAGTAAACTTTACTGTAGACTTATATTTGATTTTCAGAAGAAAGAATTTTCAAATGCTTGCCAGTAAAAAGTTTCAAATCAAAATCATTTCCTGTTATAATGAAAATGAAGAGACTGCCAATTTTCAACATATGGTTTATTATTATACTTATCAACAAGACTATTAGCGTGGACAAATAATCATAAAAGTTAAGGAAGCACATTCCCACATTTTGTTATATTTTGCTTGTTTTTCATACGTTAACCTAATACAGTAGTTTTATAAGTTAAGGAAATTAGAAATGAGTTTAATATTATATACTTTGTAGTACTTTTGAAATTTTCTATACTCAAAATATTGGTTGAAATTATAAAACAAAATTGGTAAAGATTATTTTAGAAGTAAAAATTTAGTTCTTACACACATATATATGAGTGGTTATAATACAGAATTATACCTGGCTTCTCTTTTCTGCAGTAATTTTTCAGCCAACTATTCTTCCTGCCCTTTGTCCCTCTCTCCTGTCCCATTTTGCTGTCCTGTTGCATCAGGTTGCATTCTGTATGTCCATGCTGACCTCCCAACTTTTCATCATTGTCCTGTCCCAGCCACTGACCTTTGTTTTCTTACCTGTATTCCTGCCTTGATTTTCTTTTTTGTTTCTTGTTTTTGAGGCAGGGTCTCAATGTAGCTCCTGCTGTCCTGGAACTCAGTGTAGACAATCAGACTAGCTTGAATCAGAGAACTACCTGCTCTGCCTCCCTAGTGTTGGGATTAAACATGTACACTAGTGCTGGAATATTTTTAAAGAACTCAAAGTTTCTATTTAAAAAGCTTAGGATAAAATGTACACAAACACAGTGATGAGAAATGTAGGTTTCTTGATGCTTCAGGCTGACACCAACTGTCAAAAGAATTCCAGGCATCAAGGATAGGCCTTGGTGAGAGATATTTTAAGACAGACCACACCACAGCGACAGTTGCTTACTATGTATAAAGGGCAGCCTGTTCACAGGCACTGTCTCCTGAGTTGTGTATTTTACATGGTTCAGGGTGAGTATATTTTAAAGAATTATTACTGTAAAGTTTCTTAAAATGTTACAAAAGAGCTTTTTCATAAGTAGGAATGCTAAAAAATGAATGGTCTCTTTTCTCCTCTTTTTGTGAAGATACCATCTGTTTGATGTTTAAAGTTTTATATGTCCTACTCCCTTACCCCCACCAGCTGTGAAGATAGGAAATTTTTCTAGAAATGCTGCTGGTATACCACTGTAGAATGCTTGGTATTAGAAGATTTCAAGAAGTAAGATTTCATTCTTCATACTTCAGAACTATCACCTACATAAAATTGAACCCTACTCTAAGTGTCTGGTTTATTGATATGCTTTAAGAACATTTCTGTAGTGTTCTCTTAACTCAGCATATCTGGCTGCTGTTTACTGTTCTTTTAAACTTCCAGGATATGGGAGAACTATCTTCTACTGATGTATGTTTAAAACTACATCCATGTCTGTATTGCCATGTGTATGTATATATTAATTGCCCTGTGCAGTCATGTATTTTGAATGTCATATAGATCATTTTTTTCATGCAATATAATGTTCAAAAACATTGTCTCTGCTTCATGTAAGTACCATAATTACAGAAAGGTGGTAAACTGCTAGTTGTTTACATGTCCAGTATTTACAGCTCTGTGAAAGTTAACTAACACACTCCTGTTTTTCTGATAAACTTGGGAATAAATATCCTGGGTTCTGATTTGTGTTTAAACATGTGTGTTCATACTGTTTGAATCAGGATATTCTGTTTTATCACTTGGGTCTCTTCCTTTTCCTCTTTTTACATGAATAATTTCAGTTTCTTAGTAAGCATTTTCAAAATAAGGAAAAATACTTTGGTGCTTCCTGCTGTTGTATACAGTTGGTCCTGTTGTCATCTTATGAGACACTGATTTAGCAGAAAATGATGCTAAATATATGGATGTGGTTATTGCCATCAAAATGTATATGACAAAGATGGATTCAAATAATTTAACAATTTATATCTCAAAACAAAATATATTAAAATGTCACTTCAGAATTTAAAGTAGCAATTACTGATATGAAAAAGAACAATATAATAGACGTCTTTCTTTCATTTTTACATAGAATGTAATTTTCATAAAATATAATTTCAAGGCAGCTTATTGGTGATAATGTTACAGAAATTTTTTTTTTTAACTTTGATTATTGGAGGCAGGAGGGCATGGGGCTTGATCCCAGTGTCCTCTTCATGCTAATCAGGTGCTTTGTTTCAAGGCATCACCCTGTCCATTCTCCAGTTAGATGGTAACAGTTTTTAGTGCATCATGTTCCATAGGTAAGACTAAGTTTAAAGAAGTACACATCTTTAATCCCAGCATTTGGGAGGCAGAGGCAGGCAGATCTCTGTAAGTTTGAGGTCAGCCTGGTCTATGGAGCTAATTCCAGGACAGCTTCCAAAAAATCCACAAAGAAACCTTGTCTTGGGGGGGGGGACTAAGACAAAAAGATGCATTGAATTTTACTTGGTTATTTCTAAAAAGACCTATCATTTTCTAAACAAAATTATTATTAGAGAATTCTCAATTCTTTTGAGTTATTGAAAGATGCTTTCTTCCCTAATTATAGCCACATGCTGTATAGTAACAAATTTGTCTCACTGTGTGGGTATAGATGATTTTGGAATCAAACAATGTTTCTTACTTAGATTACAGCATAGTTTTTGTGCATTTGTCTGTATTGCCATTCTGTATTATTTGGTATTGTCACTGAAGAGCTAACTATACTAACCTTAAAAACTGTTTTTGAAATTTACAGTAAAAAGACCCCTTTTCAGGGACGTACTTGTGTCTTATTATTGGTAGTGTTTTATAGATATGTTTCTTTCATGAGATACTGGCACATGAGTGTACATTTTATAATTGTATCCTAGCCAGACTAAAGCCCTATAAGTTACATTTAAACCTTTGCTTCAATTGAAAGTCCCATTCTTAAAGGCATTTTGTGTTTTACATCTGATTTTCAGTATTTTAGAGAACTGATACTTGTTGCCTCATTTGGAATCAGTTGGCAAATACTGAAAACAGATTTATTGAGGTCATAATATCAGTGTCTTTTACTGAGTAAAAATTGGTTTGAGAGCAGCGGCTTTGATATGCAGCTCTGCTGTGCTCTTTACTATATGACCTGTTAGAAAGCATTAGTGTGCTTCACAGGTATTCAGATGTGCTGAGAAAAGCATGGCATTTAGGTCTCTCAGAGAGCCTCTTCCATCTATGATAAAAGCTAGAAAGAGGACCTGCAGTTGCTTTACTCTAGCTAGCATTCCTTCTCTTAGGAGCTTTCTTTAGTCGTGAAAAGGGAAGTTTTGCTCCTGACCCTGTGTGATGCTTTAAATGTAAGTGTTTTGTAGTGTCTCAGTCTTACTCCAGAATGAATTTTGGCCTTGTGTGTGTGTGTGTGTGTGTGTGTGTGTGTGTGTGTGTGTGTGTGTGTGTGTATACAGTTGTCCAGATGTGTTACAGCATTTTGACTCCAGGACTCCCCTCAGGTACCAATGTCTGAACATCTGAATTGCGTACTCTCTTTCATGCTTTGAATTATCTCTCAACTTAAAATCCCTACTCTAGTGTATTCCATGTACATAGTTATTACTTTTTCTTCATTATGGAATAGTGTTGAGAAGAAGAAAAATCCCTTTACATGTTAGTTTAAATTTAAGGATTTCCCCCCAGATACTTTACATGTATACTCTGCTGGTCTGAATCTCGTAAAGCTTTATTTTAGTACTTGAAAATAAAATTTCTAAGACTTCATCCACTTAATCCTGTGTTCAAATACATTTACTTTATGAATAGATTATTTCATTTTGACTTTAGGTTTATGGGTTTTCCATTTATTTATTTATTTCGTGATATGTATTGCTTGAATGCATGTCCGTGTCTGTGCTAAGTGTGCATAGTATGCCCAACACTTAAAGATTACTTTGCTTTTTCTGAGAAACTATTGTTTCTTTGAATGTTGAGACTAGAAACTGCTATTGCTCTGCCTGTGGTAGTAGATCATAATCTGTAGCGATTACAACAAAAGTGTTAGAGAAATGAAAGTTACTGGAATTCCATTTATCTCTGCTGTTATCAGAGCAAAACAATTTTCTCAAAGTGCTTTCTGTAGTACTAACCTCATTTGAACAAAGTCAAGTATATTCTAATTAGAAAATCTATGAACTAGGTAACACCTTAAACACAAAGTACTTTGTGAACTATACTACATATGAATTGAAGCCCCATGAAAATTAGATTAAACCATATAGTTTTTTGGTTTACCTTGTAATAAAAGTCAATATACATACAGAGAGAGAGAGAGATCAGAGACATAATGTGATATAATTAACACACATATATATGTATCAGAAAGAGTATGTGTGGGAAGAGTAATTAAGAATGTAAGTTGCAAAGAGAAGTTGGAGTCATTGTGCCTGTCTCTTAAATTTTTTAATATAAATTCTGTGAAAATGTGATTCCTGTCAGTAATTTGGTAACCTGCACATATTCTTTAAACTTGCCCACATTTTAAAACCACCATGCAACTGATAGTTTCATTTTCACAAATGTGCTTATTTGAAAAGCTTTCAACAAAAAAACTTAAGTATTCTCATATTTATCTAGTCCTCTATCATTTTGTGAACAATCATATTCAACAGTGTGTTTTAATGGCAAGTAATTTAGTACTGCAGGCTTTCAATGTCGAAACAACAACAATTCACTTTAAGATTTCGAGGAAATAATTTGAAGCTGACTTTTATTGTAGTAACTAAATTTAACATCATTACTTACAGTTAAGCTTTACATGTTTAATTCATAATATGTTTCATGGTTTTAGTTTCTTTTTAGTGCTCATAATTAAGAAAAAACTAAGTCATCCTTATGCATAATGTTTAACATCTGCTGTCTTCTGTATGTGTGTATATGCTAGATGGAAGATGGCGCCACAAAACATGTCATCCAGATGACGGGATTTAAGATGGAAGAAAAGGAAGCTCTAGTCAAATTACTCTTAAAACTAGATTGCACTTTTATTAAGAGTGAGGTGAGTAGAGGAATGTACTAAAATATTCCAGAGAGTTAAAAAATAGAATTAAAAAAAAAAAATAAAGTCAGCATGTCTTGATATTATAAAAATAAAATTTTTATTATTAAGAAACTCACTACAGTAACATTGGTTCATGTGAACTCTTCTCTCTAGAAATATAAAAATTGTACACATCTTATAGCTGAACGCCTGTGCAAGAGTGAAAAATTCTTAGCAGCTTGTGCAGCAGGTAAGAAAACTTCCTTTCTCCAACTCTTGAAGAAAAATTTCATGTTAACAGAAGAAATCTTGAGTCACTAGAAATATATTATGCTTCTTACATCAGACATAATGTCTTGCTTTCTGATTTTTAAATATATTTGTTTGATTTTTGCTTTACTCTGATTAAAATTTTTTCTAACTCATGCAATATATATTAAGTAGGAAGAAAATTTACTTTGTCACAGATAACAGTTTAAATGTCTTATCCAAAAGATTGGGACAAAGTGCACAAACCTTGAAGCCTTAGTTGAAACCTCAGCACTGAGTCCCCTTTGTTTTCTAGCATTTCTCATTACAGTCGAGCAGGGTTCCTTCTCCCAAGTATCCCTCCATCTCTACTGGGAAGCCATATCTCCTTTATTTTTATGAGATAGTGAGTTCTGTATACCCAAGTTGAGATTTGGCTTTTCATCTCACCTTTTCTCACCACTATTCACTAGAAGCTTTTTTTCCTATGCTAATTGATTTCTTGTGTCTTAGTCAATCATAGATGCCATATCATTTTTTTCCTTTCATTTGCCAGAGAAACATTTTGACTTATCACTAACCTTTACAGGCAAAACTATGTATATATTCCTGCTGTTTAAATGATCACTGGTGTGCACATAAACAGCATATATGAATATTTATTCCTATAAAATTTACTAACTTATAAAGTTCAATATAGCATTAACAATACTATGAATGTTTTTTTAAAAAGTTTGGCATAGGAGGAAATAAACCTAACACAGAAAAATGAATACAATTAGTAATAATAGTTCAAGTAGCATTGCCTTATACTTTAAAACTTTAGATTTATATTTCATCTCGTAGCATTTAGAATTGTGGTTATGTATCATAGAAAAATTATATACAATGTTCAGTGATATTTAAGGCCTCTTGAAAATTTGTTTTAAAAATAATTTTCATAGTCTTATCTTGAGAATCTCATGCTTTAGTTGCTATTTGATCTTTATTGTTTACCATTTAGCAGAACTAAAATTCTTTTGTGACAGTTCATTTGCTTTCTAGGAAAATGGGTATTAACGAAGGACTACATAATTCATAGTGCCAAAAGTGGCAGATGGCTTGATGAAACAACTTATGAATGGGGATATAAAATTGAAAAAGACTCCCATTATTCACCACAAATGCAATCTGCACCTAAAAGATGGCGTGAAGAGCTGAAACGGACTGGTGCTCCAGGCGCCTTCCACAGATGGAAAGTTGTCCTCCTTGTTAGGGCAGACAAGCGAAGTGATTCTCTTGTAAGGTAGGATACCATTATTACATACTTTTGAAGTGAATAAGTTCTTGTTTCTATGAATACCTTTCAGTATTTATGTTCAATGTTATAATGAGATTGCATATTTTTTTACAGCAGGTTTATTTTTAGTTACTACTTTTGTTTTTGGGGGTTGTTTTATTTTTGGTTTTTTGTTTGTTTGTTTTGAGAATTTCATGCATGATCACTGGATCTGCATCACTCCCATTTCTCCATCCCCCATCCAACTCCTCCTCTACCCACTCCACTTTTAATGATGTCTTTTTCATTATCCTTCCATGTTCACACACACACACACACACCTGTGTATATAATCCACCGAGCCCATTCCGCTTTACTTGTATTTCATGTGTCTAGGGTTTTATCAAATCTCAAATGAGGCATTGTGCACAAATGTATGCATTTCTTAATAGAGCAAAATTGGTTTTATAGATGGACTTTGACTATTCTGGTGATCTCAGTTTAGTTCCCATGTCATTTCTTTTGTTCAACTTTAGAAAAATAAGAGAAAGCAATACTTAGGAAAATTGGAAGCATTCTTAAAATTGTGCTAGTTAATTATTTTATTATCAGAGACACTTCCTTGGGGTTTATATAGTACTTACTTTGTGATTTATATTATTTCTATATTTATTTATTTATTTTTACCAGACAAGGTTCCTCTGCATAGCTCTGGCTGTCCTAGAATTCACTGTAGACCAGGCTGTTGACCAGGATGTTCTGGAACCCACAGACATCTGCATGCCTCTACCTTTCAGTGCTAGGGTTGCTGGCATGCATCCTCACGCTCAGCTAATTTTGCCTTTTTAAATACAAGGAATTTTTGCTTGTGAAAGTACGTGGACAGTTGTAGTTATGCATGCTTTTGCAGAGAAAAGAGCTTATAACTTTCCTTATTACTCTTCACTTTAGTTTTTGAGACACAGTCTCTCACTGAACCCAGGGCTGGCTGACAGGGCTAGGCTCACCAGCTGACTGGACAAACTCTTGGAATCCTCTTGTCTGTTTTCTGATGCTAGAGTTACACGTGTACACCACTATGCCTGTATGTTGACAGGTGCTAGAAATTCCAGTTCAGCTTCTCATGCTATAGAACAATCACTCTACTTGTTAGCTGAAATGGAAAATTTATACTGAATGTTATAAGAAAATGCCAAATTATTTCCTAAAATAGTTGGGCTACATTTGCCTACCCTTCCAGAAGCACTATGGTAAGTACAGTTGCTTTGGACTTGACTTGGCACTGTTGCTAGACTCACTGCTCTGTGTATAGTCAGTGTCAAGAACTCATGTTCTAGGTAATCATACTCAGTTCTACCTACCATCCTCAGCCAACTGTTTGGTTACTGCAACTCTGTAGTGATATTGGAATCAATTTGTATCTTTCAACTTTAATACTTTTTTAAGTTCTTTGTGAATCTGGATCCTTTGAATTTGTGCATGTTAGATAGAATCAGAATATGAATTTCAAGTAAAAATCAAATTGAGGCTTTCACTGTGATTGTGTTTTTTCATGGTCTTTGTGAGAATTGAGCTCTTACACTGTTAATTCTTCCTTTGGGTGCACGATGTGTCTCTGCGGATCTCCTTTAATGTTCTATAAGTTATATTGTTTCTTGGTTAGGTCAGCTGGCACTTACTTAATCCATGATCCTCCAGGCTTTTCCCAAGTACAGGGAGTATAGTCCTGAGCCACCACACTTAGGCTGCTTTTTAGTTTTCATTGTATCAATTTATGTGTATATTGCTAAATGTATTACTCACTATTTTTGTATTTGGGGAGGCTATTATACGTATATCACTATAAGGTTTATCTGCATCTGTGAGGATTCTTTTCTGTTTTATTCTGTTAATTATTGATTCTTTAAAACAAAAAGAATTTAAAGTGTCCAGTGTACATACGTATCTATGTATTTGTACCATACACTCAGAGGTCTGAAGTTTCCTCTAAAATAGGAATTAAGACAGTTGTGAGCTGCCATATGGGTGCTGGGAACCAAAACCTGGGTTTGCTGCAAGAGCAGTAAAGTACTTTTAAATGCTTAGTCCCTCCTGATTGTTAGTTTTAAACAAATTCCTTTTCTTCAGATACACTACATCATGGTATGTAACCAATTTTCAATATATTGCTCATTCTATTTGAAAATAGTTTGTTAAAGAGTTTTCTGTTTTCAACGTAATAAATGGCCTCAATGCATAATGATATTTAAACTTCATATCATATTGGTGACATACCTCCCATACTAGTAACTGTAAGTGAGGGCTCAGTGAAGTCACTGGACAGGACCACTATGTAGAAGAAAAAAAGTTTATTGAGAGAATAGACTGCTGGTCTACTTCTAACAGTTGGGGAGAAAGTAAGGAAATTTTATATGTAAAGTCAGCAAGATAGTGGTCTTTGAGCTGATGAGGGCTGTTATGATTAATCTGGAACTACCCTTGCAAAGGTAGCTGACCACTGGAATGGATAAGGGAGGCAGTGATTTTCCTGGTAAACAGACCTGCCTTGGGAAATTCCTGAATAGTGCTGAGTTTAGGTTTCTGTTTATCCTTTTATTTAAAACATTGTCTCCAGCTCTGCCATGTGGGGAGCCCATTTGAATCCAACAGTGACAAGGTAGGGATGCTCTGACCACTTTTATTTAGCATTTACTGGTCTTACTAGCCAATACTGTAAGCATGCACACACACACACACACACACACACACACACACACACACACACACACACACACAAATAAAACCAAATAAAAAAGAAAGGAAGAAAAGTGATAAGGGGGAAGCTTAAAATTGAAAAACAACCATAATTGTCTGTTTTAGACATAACTAAAAATTTATATATAAAAAAAGAAAGTACTAAACCTGTTAAATGAATTTAGCCAGATCACTGTATAAAATTTTTATAACTGGCAAAGAACAATTGGAAACTGAAATATAAGTTAGTCTCAGGCCATTCAAGAGGAACGACAGCTCTGGAACTCACAGAAATGGGCCCACTGGTTAGCATAGACAGGTGGGTGTTTATGCACCTTGTAGAGGTAGAGTTCCAAGGACTATATTTCCTGAGGACCTCATGCTGTTATTGAGTATAGCTCTGCTATTAGCTTACAGTCACTACATCCCTCATAATCTACATGTTGTATGAAAACTTTAAGGAGGTTTTTTAGCTCCTCACTGGGCAGTGCCACTGGTGTTTGTGTTTTTCCAAGTATTGCTGCTGGCACAGATTAATGATTCGACTCTTAGAAGGAATTTAGAGAAGGAGACTGTTAGTAAAGTCAGGTTAAGATGTTTTTGTTAATAGCATTGCTGTAGAAAATCTTGTGGAACAATTTCAAGTTTGGAAAGGCACACTTTCAATAGTTATGAGAAAGGGATTTGTCAAGGTCAGGGAAAAGAACAAAGGCAACCAACCTGGCTTTTACTAGCTGATGCACCGTCCTTGCTAAGATGGGCTGCTAACCAAAGGCGATTATTTATTTCTTGTACCCATTTCTACCTGTGATTTTCTGCTGTAGTTTAATAAAAAATTGTTGGTGAGTGGGTGTGCACGCTAAGGACTTAAAGTAGAAATGAGTTAAGATTTGTGATTCTTTTAAGACCTTGTGCAAGATTACCTTTTGAGATAAATAATAAAATGATTGATCCTTTCTTTGTAACTAAAAACAGCTGCCTGCCAGAACAAAAGGAATTGGCTGAAATACAGTTGGCTTGCTTAAAACTTTGTTAATCAATTATAAAAGAATCATTGTTTTGGGTTGAAGATATTATGGTGGGAAAATTAATATAAAGAAAAATGTTTAACTATTTATAGCTTCTAAGGAAAACATATAGCTTGTGATCATAATGTGATTTCTTCCTGTATAAAGATTTTTACTTGTTTTTGGAAAATATGTAGCTTGTGGTTATAAGGTAATCTTTTCTTGCATAGAAATTTTTATCTTCGGAGGTATAAAAGGGATAAGAGAAATAGAACGAAAGCATCCGGGAAGATGTACAAGGACAGCAAGAAAGAGAAGGAGAACAACTAGGAAGAAAGTAAACAACAGGGTAGAAAAAACAGAACAGTAGGAACAAGCAACAGAAAGAAGAAGAAAAAAAGAAAAAAATTAAGCTTTTGCCCTCAGACAAGTTCCCATGTGTGTCTGTGAATCAGTCCTGTAGTTGGCTGACTCCATGCCTCCTCTTCAGTTTCTCTGACCTGACGAGGGTAGGTCCCTCAGCAAGTTAGTTTAAAATTTATTTTATTGATAACCTATATTTCTTTTTTAAAAAGACATTTTATTAAAATGCAGTTAGCATGCATATTCTTTCCCATTGTCCTCCATATGTTGATAAAGATGTGTACCGTCAGTAGTTTCATCTCTGGCATATATATTCTTCTGAAGCATGGGCAATGTTAGTACATCATTACACTCTATAAGCACTGTAGTTATTCATGCCTTGGCTCTTCCACCCATATACACCCACCTCTATCCTTATCTTACTTAGCCTATTCCCTCTGTATTTCTCCTTTGTGGACATTTCATAAGAATACTCTTATTCACTTAATTATGTGTCTTTTAGCTAATATGTTTTCCCTGCCTCCTCTCCCACATCCCTGTAAATAAACTAAATCTCTTAAAAACTAATGCACCTGTACTTTGGTTAAGGTCCACCTAAGAGTGAAGTTTGTGCCTGATTATTTAATATATTTCAAGATTCTCTAGTTTTATTTGTGTTTTAACAAATGACAGAATTTCAATCTTTTGTATAAGCTAAGCAGTATTCTACCATGTAGCTATAGCACATTTTCTTTATCAGCTGCTAAGCATTTGAATAATCTTGGCTGTTGTGCATAGTGCTATAATAAGTATGAAAGTATACCTCTTTAAGATACAACTCTCACATCTTAAGAATTTATATTCAGTAGTGATAGTTAGAATATATGGAAGTTTGTTAATATTTGGCATAGTCTTTGTACTGTTTTCACATGACTGTACTTATTC